ATAAAAATATTCCGACAGAATAAAGAGTAGTGAAACAATAAATAACATTTAAACATTAATTTTTTAAATTTATTAAACAGCAAATTTTTGTTGTTTTAATAAGTTTTTATTGAAACAATAAATAACGTTGTCAAAGAGTAATGTGGTGTAAAATTAACCAAAGAAAAAAATCAACAAATTCCTAAGAAAAGAACATTTGTAAAGGAAAATATACCTGAAAAAGAATTCATTATAAAAAGTTCATTGGTCTGAAAGCGGTACATTATTATTTTTTTTAAGAAATTTCTATTTTTAAACTATAGTGTACATCAAAATATGTGAATACAATGAATGATGTCAATATTTGATTCTTCGATTCTCAGAAACTGTAATTAAGCATTTATAATTATCAGATCCAAAAAGAAAACGTGCCAGTAAGGTTTCTTGGGCAGGATTCATGATGGGCTCACCAGTTACTGAACACTGGTGGTTGATAACAGGTTCGTACCTATCTAGTTATCGGGTACAATTTACCGGGTTGTTTTCACGTGTCTAACACCTAAATAGGAGCCAGTTTTTTACTGAAAGTTCTCCTTAGAAGTGTCTCCTATTGCAGATCGTGTTGTCGTATCCCATCAAACCAATTAGGGTACATAACTCTGACCCTAAAATTTAGTGTTTTATGCAGAAAACACGCTACGAAAATGATATAAATAAATGTTTTTATGTAAAATGAAGGTGCCACATTTGAAAATCTTGGCCATTTTCAAACGTGCATTCATTTTCTCTCACATCTTGTATAAAGATGTTTTCATATAGGCTATACGTGTATATGAGGATAAAAAACTTAATATATAAAAATATTAAATTTGAAAAGAATTAAATAATTTATAATTTATTTTATAAATAATATAAAATATTGAGACATCGTGCTCTGTCTCCTNTTTACGAAATACCATCTATTAAACTGGCAGACACACAGAACATTTTAATATTTAAATAAAATACAAGACAATATTTAATGTATTATTATTATTATATCCAATTTTAAAAGAAGTTTTTAAATGAAATTACGTGCCAGAATACTTTTTGACATTTTGACTTTTAACTCGAGACGTATAAAAAGGCTATTGACACTCACTTGTAAGAAAAATCGAATCTGAAAAACAATTTATTTTCCGTTTTAGAATCTGTGAAGATAGAATCGGTCAAGCGAATAGTTGTCGTGCCAATTTGGCAGACAACCGTCAGCCACGTTCTGCCAGCCAAATGGTCAAAGTTTAGTAAAGGTCAAGTCATAAGTTATATAATAATTCAAACTTTTCTCACTCAACCTAACTTTTCTTTATTATGTTTTATACATAAATGGAGGAGGAAAAAAGTCGTTAATATCTTATATGTAATGTTATTTATCAAAATATATTTTGTATTTATACTTTTTTTAACATCCTGTAGGCTCTAAGAGAGGGGATCTTTTTTAGAAAGAGCATTATATTTTCGGCCAGGCCCACAACAGGCCAGGTGGTGAGGGACTTAGCAAGCTTATATTGAGTTCGGCCAGGTTACACAGCCGGGTAATGAGGACCACCCCCGAGAAATTTTTAGGCCATCGATGCTTTTGTATATAAATTAAGAATAAAATTACATATAAAAAAAAAAACAGAAACAAAAACCTATCAAGCATGCAATTAATATTGTTGGATAATTACAGTTCTGGTTAGGTTATTTTTTAATATATTTTTAAGGGTTCAAAATTAGAAATAGTAACCCCTGTAGAGGTCAATCGATTTATTTGGAGGTCGATAAATTACTAGGTCGATTGAGGAACGGTGGACGGATTTATTTTTTAATAAATTTTTTAATAAAGAAAGAAGAATCTTTATTTAATTTAATAATTTTTATACATTATTGTGTAGATATTGTGAGAATTTTAAGGCCTCGTAGGCCCTAAACTTTAGTCTTATTTATTTTATTTTATTTTATGGCTTTTGGATATGAGCGAGGCCCGCATTTGTGGCCTATTCAGTTCTAATCAAATCTATTTATTTGATAGTAATTTGTAAGAAGTCTCTTGTGAATGATAAATAGGAGAATAATTCTATTTATCATTCGCAAGATAATTGAGATAAAAGCTGGAGTGAAGAGGCTCGCCGCACTAACAAGGCATAAAATTATATAAATCTAATTAAAATCCACTTAAATTAATTAGTAATTAAGAATTGGGAGTAAGAAAGATAATAATAATCCGGCCCAATCGTAAATATAGGGCCTCACCCACCTTCGAAAGCCATAAAAACATATGAAATCAATAAACCAAATTAAAACAGCGCTTTTTCCTACCCTGTTTCCTGCATAAATAATTCGATTTTGAGGCCCTTCTGGATCTAGGCCTATCCCAAATAGCCCTACTGGAATTCCTTTATATCGTAACAGATTTTTAAAAGTTATTTTATCATTAACTGTTTTAATTATCCGTTTTTATGCAGTCGAACGAAATACATTTTTTATATTTCTGCACTAATTATTCGTGTAATTATTATGTTTAATGTTATTAAAATGAGGATTTACCTAGTTCATTTCAAATAAGTGCAAAATATTCCTCTTCAAATATACATTAGTGAATGGAAGGAACTTTTATGCTTTTTTCATCGATACATTAATTAAAGGTAAGCTAATTAATTACGAATAGTTAAATCATGAACAAAGATAGACTATTCAAGATATGAAATTATCAAAAATCTTTAGTGAATATATTTAAATAATATAATATAATTATTTAATGCCGTAGTATTTTTAACGTATCACACAAGTGGCCAAGCAGATAAAAATAATGAATACTGGTAGCAGGTCGCGGGTTCGAATCTCAGTAGGCTAGCCAGATGGAGTTTCCAAGATAGTTTTCACGTGTCTAACACTTAAATAGGGACACGTTTCTAACAGAAAGGCCTCCCGGAAGGCATTACCCACTTTGGTAGATCATCCATAAAATTTTTAATGTAACAGGCCTCATAAAGGTAAATGACAGGGCTTCTCTTGATTTGGAGTTCCTATCAGCTATCGGAACTCTTGGAGATTGTAAAATAAATTTTCAATAAAATGTGTCTTAATCTGTTTAGAATTTGTTGTTTTGAAGAGGGTCCGTTTTTGACAGGTTTTTCCACTGGGAAGAAAACCATTTTGGCAGGTTTTTTTCCTTATATTTCTACGATATAAATGTTTGTATTATCTATTTACAACTCACTTCTTCTCCTAAAATATTTTCTCGATCCATTTTATTGATTATATATTATTTAATAATTGTATTATATAATAAAATATTGATGTAGTTTTGAAAGATATACTTCAACAATCTTTAAAAGCTTTTGAAAAATTTTATTTTAAATTAAAAAAAAAAAAATATGCTTTTAAGAAATATCTATTGAAAAAGGTTAAAAAGAAATGTCTACAACAGAGAAAGAAGTAACTTGCAATCGAGAATTAGACTCCTGTAAACAAAATTTCTATCTCGATGTCTTTATTTCGGATCAGATTAGTTAGAAAATGTTATTAGAAAAGATGTTGTAGTCAATTAGATGTAACATTGAAGATATCAAAAGAGAAAATAAAAGACGATAGATGTACCGGAAATTAAATCGATGGAATTCCTGTTTATTGTACCAAGAGGAAAAATCATTCCAGAAAAGTCATAGTATCAGAGTGACTATAATAAATAATTTTTATTATAGTGACTCTGGCCCGAATGATCGCAGAATTCACGTGGAAATTAATTCTAACAATGTTTTACTTTTGAACAATTTTAAATATCTTTATATTAAACAGATCCGATATAGTCACAAATTCAGATTCTGATCCATCAGTGGTAGAGTGAATAAAACACTATTGAACACTGGTCGTGGGTTCGAGCCACGCCAACGGGCAGGCTATGTGGAGTTTTCCGGGTTTTCTTCACCTAAATTGGGGTAAGTTTAGCATACAAGGTATTCCCGTAAGGCATCCACCTTGGCAGATCGCTTACGTGTCGCATTGCTGTATAACAAACTGTACACGAGAACTCGTCCTTTGGATGCCCGATTTAATCAACTTAACAAAGATATAAACTTTAGAGTGCTATAAATAATGTTTATACTGGGCCCGTGATACTATTGTTCTGTGTTGCTGCTCGAAATTCACAAAAATATACGATTAAAATCAATACAACAGATGTTTTAGCAATTATCAAATGAAACTTTAATTTATAATACTTTAATATCATATTTTTTTACAAAAAAATAAAATTTTGAGGCCCCTCAATCCTGGAGTTGTGTCAAATGACCTTATACGCTCCCTCTATCTGTGGCTAAGTTTAAATTTGATTATATTTCATAAAAATTTAATTATAAATTAATATTTTTAATATAGAATCTATAGAATTCTTTGACTCTTTCTGCTCTGTGGGCACTAAGAACTTTTCTCGGTGCCCATTATAGGTTCGACCAGGCCACAAAGTGAACAGGGAGAGGGCCTGATGTATCCAGAATAAACCGTCTGCGAAGTCCAATGATAGTTATTATAATATTTAATTTAATTTTAAGTTCATATAAACTTTATAAAGTAAATTAACAGACAAAATGTTTATTTACACGAAGTAAGTTTTGCTTATATTTTAATTGTTAAATACAAGTAGTTTTTAATATACAAAATAATTAATTAATTAATCAAAACAGAACATTTTAAATATTTAAACTAATTTAGGAACTTTAAATTAAATTAGTAAAAGTTGCTAAATTATTTTATACTGAAATTAGTCATATAAACGCAGTCAATTTGCATAATCCCTTTGGTGACCAAGTAGATAAAATCAATGGTCGCGGATTAGCGCCTGATCAACGGACTGGCAACGTGGGTTTTCCGGGTATTCTTCACATGCTTAACAACTAAATAGGGATCAGTTCCCCTTAAAAGTCTTCCATCATATACCAGTTTCAGATCGCCTATCAAACCAAAGAATAAAATCATCATAATTAATTTTAAGCAATTTCTTTATTGTTACGCTACAACAAAGTATCTATTGTCAGAGTTCACTCTAGTTTAGAAAGGCCCAGCATTTTTAATTTATAGTCGAAATGGCCAACGAATTGACAGAAGAACAAGTTGCTGAATTTAAAGAGGCCTTTTCACTCTTTGACAAAGAAGGAAGTGGGCAAATTACCACTAAAGAATTGGCCATGGTAATAAAATCTTTAGGCCTAAATCCGTCGGAGGCCGAACTGCAAGAAATGATAAAAGAAGTGGACAGTAAAGGCACGGGTATGGTTTACTTTCCCGAATTTTTGTCTCTGATGGCTAAAAATTTAAAAAATATCGAATGCGAAGATGAAATCATCGAAGCTTTCAGAGTGTTCGATAAAGATGGAAATGGTATCATCAAAGCTGATGAACTTCGCGATGCCATGCTCAATCTGGGTGAGAAGTTGTCTCCCGAAGAAGTGGAAGAGATGATACGTGAGGCTGATCCCGATAACGATGGCCTCATTAACTATGTGGAATTTGTCCATATGGCATCCAGAAAATAATACTATTCCATGCCTTGTTTTGGTTTTTATTAAAAATTATTTTTTCATTGAACAAAATTTATATATATCTAAATTGAATAAAATTTAGTTACTAAAAATGGCATTTAATTGAGTGAATGAAATTAAAAAATCTTCTGTAAGAAAAAAACCAAACTTTTTACACTGGGCAATTTTTTGACCGGTACTAAAATTTTCTGGCCAAAGTTCAAAACGTGGTGGCCGGATGATAGAGTTGTTAAGGTAGTAATCTACTCTTACTATGGGGAATTTGGGATCGAATCCGGACGGGTCGAAAAACACCAGGCAAGTCGGTCCTGTGCCTGATCAGCCGGCCGCACAAACTCATAATGGGCTTGTTGAAAAAGGATCCTCTTGGTGTTTACAAGACAAAGAGAGTTAAAAAATAAGCTGATGATAGTTTCGTGCACTGGCCAGATTTCGGGTTTTGGTCCTAATAAAGAGAATGTAAATACTGTATATATAAATCGGATTTCTGTATCGTTTGATTTAACGAATATTAATGAGCATGTATTCTACAAGGTCATCCTTAATTTTGCCACTTATGCAAGAACGTAACTTCAACGGGGTCGATAGCATAGATGAGCGGATTAACAAATTATATTACCACAATTCCACAAAATTTATTCGATTATCAACGCGTTTGCTCATTATGAACAAACCTGATTCACAATGATGTCTATCCCACAAATGTGGAATGCAACAGATGATCCTTATCTGTGTTCATTATAAGAGGACTCGCAACAGGATCGATCATATGAGTGAAAGCATGAAATAATGCCTTGAAGGAAGATGGAGAGCGATTACATAAGGCCCTCAGAGCCTCTCTAAGCCTTATTTTGATGGAAAGTTCTCGGTTTTAGCGTTTTTTCTTTCCTTCGTTCACAATTTTTTTTCCTGCTTCATAATTAAAATTTTATCATACAAATACTGGTTCAGGTCCCTATACCTCGACCCGAACTATGTACAGTTGTGTAAATTATAAGGTATAGATTAGTCATAAGTGGTTGACTGATATTTCAGGTGTAGGCCTATCATCTTATCGGCTCGAAAATGTGTTTAAAGATTTAAAAAGAAAGAACAGATTTTTTTTTCCCACACTAAGAAATAATTCTCAAAATTCATTCTATTTTAAATTTTATTTTCATATAACACGTCATTTTTTTTCTTTTCTTAACTTTCCGCTCTGTGGATACTAAAAGGGCCTCTTTTATCAAATCCGTTATGTGTTCCGCTATGTGTTCCGTTATGTGTTCCGTTATGTGTTCCGTTATGTGTTCCGCTATGTGTTCCGTTATGTGTTCCGTTATGTGTTCAGACTCTAAATATGCCAATTAAAAAATGTAGTGAATTAAATCATTATTTCGGGATTAATAATGAATCGCATTTCACCAATAGCTGAGGTTCATATTAGCTATTTCGTTGATATATTTACAAGTTGTGGGCTTATTGGTTAAACTGTAAAATAAAAAAAAATTTTTTTTTAATTTTTTAAATTAGGGAAAAATAAATAAATAATTACCTGTAAGTTAAAAATGCATTTGGGAGGATTACTTCTACATTAGTGTTTCTGCAAATTAGTGAAGCTACTGTAGTTTTTCTGATTTCACGTATTTGTTCTGGAATGAAAAGAAAAATAACATGTTTAACCTGTCTTTATGGTAGTCATTTCAATATAAATTTACCTATTCACTGTAAGATTTAACATTATGAAATTATATCTAATTTTCTGCAATTGCAGAGTAATTACAGATTAATTCTCTGATCAAACGTTAATGATTATTTTTAAATATATTTCGGTATCGTTGACGGTTTTAAAATTAATTACAAACATTTTATTAGTCAATTTTTTACATCATTCTCATGGCCATGTAGTAAGTGTCAATCTACTGCTGTGGTGGGCCCATCAGTGAGTAAGTCAATAAAACCACCAAACTCTGAAAGTACGTGGCATGTTGGGTCTGACCAATGGGCTAGTCGCTTGGAGGTTATTTGTTTCCTTCGCATGTCTAATAGCTACATATAGCTACATAGACGTCAGGAAATTTTCCATGGAAAGTCCTCCTGGAATGTTCTTCTATGGCAGTTCGCTCGTGCTACGTTGCCTTAATCCATAAAAGTAGCTGATCCATTTCAAATTGCACTGTCATCAATGGGCGTATACCCGATCATATAGCTTAAATATGCTGATATCACGCTTTAAACAATCAATGAGTCAATTTTTCTTACTTTCTGTCGTTGATATTTCTATATACTATGTCATAATATTTTGAAAATTAAATTATTAACTTTCATATACAACACACCTTGCGTGAAAGATCCCGGAGTTTTCGTATTTTCGTACCAGAATCGATCTCCAAATTTAAGTCTTCGAAACTGTTCCGCTATAATACATCCAAAAGTTGGTCCTACGATGCTACCTGGGACTGGTTTTTCACTTATCCCTCCTACAAACAATTCTACATCTCTATAATCTCTAATAAAAGTTATTCAGTTAGTAACGGAATTTTTATGAAATAATTTATCATATTTAATTAAACTTACTTATATATTGTTTTAATTTTATTTATTACATTGCTTTTCATAAACAACTCCATGTCGTCATAACTTGTTGCGGAAGAAAGATTGCATCTTCTTCTCCAAGAATTGTATGGAGCTAATCCATGATCTCTTCCTCTTAAAATATCGAAGGCTACCAAATCGTGTCCGGGGGAATTCTCAGAATTTGCAAACAAATAATGAGTAAGCTGCAATTTGATATATTATTAGAAATGCGAATAATTATACAAATTATCTTTTAAATTTCTTGTGTAATTTATTTGCTATTCACAAATAGCCCATTGCAACCCATTTCCCTCGATAATTTATTATGAATAACCTGTATGAATTTGGGTGTTGCTTTCCATACTGGACGACTCTGTTGTGAGTCAGGGCAGCATGAGTTAGCTTATAATGGTATAGTTATGGTCAGCCATATACCTCGCGTGTACTAAATCATTACAATGAAATGGGCAGAACGTCAGGTATTACAGTAATAGCATTGACTTCAGTTTATATGATTATAACTAACATCAATATTCAAACGTTATTTCAGCAACCTAATAGAGCTGTTTTTCCCCGAACTTCAATTTTTATTTAAAAACTTAAAAAATGTATATAAAATTTTAATACAAATCCAAACAAGAAGCTAAGTGAAGAAGTAGAATCAATATATTCTGACGTTTTTTATTGAATATATGCAATAGTGGACCCAAAAATCTTTAGAGAAGGTACAAAAAGGAAAAAAATATTCCTCACGAAATTTTTTACTACCTGAAGTACCTGGATTTACTCGGAAAAACTCTCAGAAGGACCCTTTACTGTGCTCTGCGCGCACCTTCTAATCCGCCACTGAATATACGTAAATGTTTTTCCCGTAAATTATGATTTAAACTGTTCTATATTCATATTTGCTTACACAAACAGTAAACCCAGCCACTAAAGCGATATAATTTTGCATCCCCATTTGCAGTTTCACCAATGACCGAATGATAAAACTAAAACCACTGAAACTGGTGGTTCGAGTCTCGCCAACCGGCTGGTCATACGAATTTTTTCAGGTTTTCACGTTTGTAACATCTAAATAGAGGCCGGTTTTCCATAGAAAGTCTTACCGGAAGGCATAACTATAAGCAAACAAACAAGTGTTAAATCATTATAGGTTATATCTTCTAATGCTTCAACACTGTTTGTTTTTAACATTTATATTAATAATAAAATTATTAATTCTCTTACTTCTTTTGTAAACACGTTATCAACTAAATTTGCCTCCTGTTGCATTAATCCAAGTAAAATATTATGAACGGGATCAATTGTACTGTTGCAAAAGTCATTGACGTTAAAGAAATCTGTTACTAGACGTCGGCCTGTACTTTTAGAGAATGCTTTTTTGACTCTTCGATTAACCATACTGTGACCAAATCGAAAAGCAGCTGTAGAAAAACTATTCAAGATGTTTGGCGATATTGAAGGATCATATTTGTAGTCCTTAGTTGGAACATATAACTCCTTGCTCTTCATTGTCTCATGGTCAAGAAGCAATGGTAAATATTCGTCGTATACTATATGCTGCATCATGGCTCCAATAATTTTTCTTACTTCTTGAAATAATATTTCTTTATTTGAAAATTTATCCTGTAATTTTTTCACCAATCTATTGTGTTCTCGAAGCCATAAAGTATGAATACCCATTAAGCCTGATGTCACTGATGCTCTTTGTTCTCCTAATGAATATACATATATTTTATTAATGTGTTATTTTACTGTTACGCTTGCATTAATTAATTAAAAAATATATATTATTACCTAATAGTAAGCATTTATTTTCACAGTTTGGAACAGAAGTTCTGCACGATGTTTCAGAACGAATGGGTATTTCGTATGTAGTCCTTTCAGATTTCAACATGGCTTAAAATTCAGAAAAGTTATAAAGTAACAAGCTGTTGTTCGAGAAAAATAAAGGTTTATTTTTAAATTGGCATATAATAACTTGTAACAAGAGGTATCACAAATGTCCCACATCGCCCTCATTCATTGATATATGTTACAATATGCCAATTTCAGAATAAAACTCGCTGTTCCAGGCCCTTCGTTATCTCACTTTTCCAATTTGGTGTATGATAATTTGAAGTAAGGCATGTCACTAAATGTTCCACAATGTCACTATTCCTAGATGGACTACATATTATCGTATGCCAATTTGAAAATAAATTATTTATCCTACGAAAACGACGGCTCATTACCTTATTTCTTCAAAATAAAAATATTATTTACAGCGATGTTTACTCATTTAATATTTTAATTAAAACTATTTATATTTAATTTTAAGAAAACACTCGTAAGTTTACCTCTATGTCCGTTTAAATCTCTAAGAAATCGTAGTTCTTCTACAGTGGTTCCATAAACATTTGAAGCATCTATAAAGGCTGTCAACTTGTTTAATTGTTCACGTTGAGATACTGTTTCAGAATAAAATATTTTATAGTTTAAAGCAAATTATTATTTCTGAAGGATGATTGTAAACTCTGAGTTATGCACACGAAGATAATCCGAAGAGGTTGAAATGGCCTTAAAATATATTCTCTATTTTAACTTATAACTTAGTAACTTACCTAGAGGATTATCAACTTTCTTCCTGAGAGAACTGACGGATCTCATAAAATTGAAACAATAATTACTATCAACGTAATTATTTTCAAATCTCATTGCTAATGGTATGCATTCTGGATGCTTGTTACCTTCGCAGCATCTCGCTATATAAAAATACGAAATGGTGAATTAATTATAGTCTACTTGGCTGTTTTCATGTAATTATAAAAGTTTACCTCCGAAGCCATTCGACGTGGAAAACGTAGAAGAAAATGTTAAATCGTGAGAGAGGAATTGTCCCCAATTGACAAACAATGAGTTATGAGAAATATATACATCAATTTTACTATCGTATTCGTCAGAAGTCAAAATACGACTAACCAGAAGAGGATTAGGTAAGTCTTCGCCATTTTTCATTTTTCTTACAGTATTTATATCTTAAATAAGATAATCCATATATAAGATTATGAGAATTTCAACAGAATTATATTTCTAATAAATTTCCTGAATAACGTGGATGTAGGCTTCAATAGTGGTTCTCAATGGATATGACAAGAACTTCTTCGAGAAGTTCGTGTCATACCGTGCTATAATATATCAAAAAGTAAACTTTGTAGCATCAAATAACACGAAGTAAAAGTAATTAAATAAAGTCCAGCAACGAGTTGTATAACTTTCCTGGCAAAGATAAAATTGTTTGTGGCGCCATCTGTTATGAGATTTTTTAAAACTTTTTATATTTTTAACTATTATAAAGTAGCAAAAAGTTTAATTTTTAGGGTAGAGATGAGTTTTGTAAAAAATTGTAAATACCAATAAAGAGTAATTTTTTCTTTTTAAATTCCGACCCACTGGACACATGACCATCTCTTTCTCCCCACCCCTTGACCTTAAACGCCAAAATTTAACAATATTGATTTCACTAATACAAAAAATTTTCCACATACAACATTATAAAAATAACTATAAAAAAACATTCATAATAATTAATGTTAAATTACTAGACACCGTAACCATACCTAAGTCAATTCTATACCCTATGTACACTGTGGATGTTATTTTAGACCTTATTTTATAACTAACATTGTAATATGAATTGTATTAATCCCATAATAGTTAAAAGAAAAAAAAATAAATATATACGACCGATGTAAAAGGGAGGTTAAGACACAGTTTAATGTAAAATATGGTTTCCTAGTGTATTAGATGTGCTTCCTTCCAGTCAAATTATTACTCTTATAATTGTTGCCATATACAAACAAATCAAATAGCAGTGGGAATTTTTTTTATCATCTTAGCAGACAATGTACTAAATTAAACGGAAAAATTATCATCATCATTATCAGAGCGAAACTTTTAAATATAAGATATGTTAAGTATAAAATATAGGATATATTATAACAGATGTACTGGTACAGTACAAAATGAGAAATAATCAAATGCATTATTTTCAACGAAGGCGAAAAATATGATAATTAAGATGAGATAATTGATATTTGAGTAATGCTTTTTTAATTGAATATTGTTATTATATAGTCTACCAAATAGTAGGCTATATAAAGTATGCTTACTAATTGGATATGGTATGAAAATATAATTGCTGTATTCAGAGCATAATGATCAATAATTATTTTAAAAGTATTTATAATATATAAATTTGTTTTTAATTTATAATACATAAATTGTTTCGAATAAAACTTATTTGTTATTATTTTAGACATTTTTAAATTAAAAATTTACAAGAATGAAATTTATTTACTAGTCAACAGTGCCCACAGGTAGAGAAAAAAAGATTTCTTTTTTCATTCTTAATTTTTCGAATAATATTGTATAAAGCAAAGGTCTTTCGTAAGAGTAAATTTATTTTAATAGTCGTTACAATCAATCAACTATAATCCGCAATTGACGTGATAACTCATACTTTGTTTGTATATGACAATGCCACACGTGGGAGATCTGCGGAGGGTGGATGCTTCCCGGTAGGATTTTTTTAATGCTAAACTGGAGCTTATTTATGTGTTATACATCAAAATCGGGGCCAATTCCCGTAGAAACTCTTCCTCGGAGGCGTCCTCATTTGTCAGATCGTCCACGTGTTGCATTCTCCTATTCAATCCATACCTCCATCCTGGAATAAAATCCTGAGAGCCCACTTATTACCCTTATAACTGGAGTAAATGTACAAAACTTTTTAAAATAAAATTTTGATTAGGGGAGATCGGGGCAAGATTGGCATGTTAAGCTTTACTTAAATTTTGTGTAATAAATACTGCTGTAAACTGAAAAAAAAGCTTTGCATATTGTCTATTGGAATGTTACCTTACTATAGAACTGGTTAAAATCAGTTTGGAAATAAAAATAATTAAAATAATTACAACTTTACAAGAAGAGAGAAATTGACGAAGTTGCCCCGGGTATAGGGGCAAGATCGGCAACTTCTCTCTTTTTGTAAAGTTGTAATTATTTTAATTATTTTTATTAAAGTTGCCCCTGGTATAGGGGCAACAGTAATGGGGCAAGATAGGCACGTATATAAAATTATGTTATTAACAATGTATAAGTTGGAATTCACTATTAAAACAAAGAAATACAAATCCAACACCCATTTAATATTATTACAACGAAATGCAAGTTCAAAGACATATATACATGAATAACAAATGCAAACATGTTTTCATTTATCATCTGTTTGATTTTTATCCTTTGCTTCTAATGTGGCTTTATGTTGCCGATCTTACCCCGCTAGTCATGATTTCGAAACATTAAGTACAACCCTGAGAACAGAATGCCAAGCCACGATCTGGCCACGTGAATAAGTTGAAGTTACATCCTTCTAACAGGAAAAGTAACTTTCGTTATCATGGAATTATAACAAAACCTGCCAATTCAATATAAATGGAAAAAAAATATTATATGGAATTGAACGAAAATGAAAATTTGCTTGATAATTCAACTACGCTTGTTGGAGAACAATAAAAACACTACACTCAACAAGCCACCAATAAAACTCAACTGCCTAACCTATAACCAAAGTCTCCTTTTAATTTGTTTTTTAAAAAAAGCGCTTGACAAACTTGCCCCGCATGACGAAGTTGCCCCGATCTCCCCTATATGATAGGTCGTTCCTGATTATAACAGGTGTTTCAATCAGTGTAATCAAAAATTTAATAGAATTACAATTTGTTAACGTTTTGAGATTGGAATTTTTAAATTTCTCTCAACGAATATATTCGGCAAATCAGACAACGCAATTTATCATTCTATCCTTTATTATATATTAATATATTTTATTACCCACACACGACTCGATTTTAAGTACGTTTGAACGAAACTATGAATCAGTAAAAAGCGTGAATAATGAGTTCGCATGTTTTTCGCTCGACTTAGCGTGACTCGCAGCCGTTTTCCTTAAGTAACATACCTCTATTGTGTAAATAGGCAAAGGGGAAGCATGCCAATCAGTGTAGAACGTAAAACTGTTAGAATCGTAATCATGTAGTTTTTTTCCTACTAATAATTAAATAATGATGATTTATATTATCAAACAATGTTCCTTCCATGAAGAAGGACAACCTCTTTGTTCCAAGTTCGAAAAAAAAAAGTATTGTCTACAAATTCTAAAAATCTAGCAACGAGTTGCCGTAACTTTCCCTGACAAACGTTAAAATTGAGTGGCACCATCTGTTATGATATTTTATTTTAAAAACTTTTTATATTATTAGTTATTATAAAATGACAAAAAGCTTTATTTTGAGGGTATAGATGAGTTTTATTTTTAAAAAAAATGCTAATAACCAGTAAAATCTTCATTAAGTTCGATCCTACTGGAGATATGACACGTGTTCCCTGTATCTTTCCTACTCACTTGACTTTTAACCACCAAAAATTAATAGCATTAATGCCCCTAATACACAAACCTCCTCTGCGAAATTTCAAAAATTTTCGACAAAAAGCTTCAAAATTTTCAAAATTAAGAGACAGATTTTCAAAAAGTGGAAAAAGATTAAAAAAAATTAAGCCCAGTATTGCAAACAAGAAGAGAACGTTGTTTAACTATGCGTGTAATTTAACAGAAGCTGACCATGTCTAGCCTACGGTGTGTCGTCAATATGTATAATGCTAAAACGTAAAGACTTAAGAAGGGAACGTTTCAAACGAATGTCTGAACAATCGTACAATCAATTTAATGTGAATAAATCATATCTATAAGATATATATTTATATTTGCTGATAGAACAGACCTTAATCTGTTTTGTCATAAACACTATGGATATTCGCCAAAAGCAATGACTCCTAATCTCGAAACCCACTAGTTGTATTGACGGAAAAGTTCTGCGTTTATAACGGAATCTATCTCGTTTGTTTTCAATGCTTTACTTTCTTAATAGCTACACGCTGTCTCTTAATTTCGAAGCCCAGGAATGTCGAGTGGATAAAACTACTGAAGACTAGTACTTGGTCGTGGGTTTGAGCCTCACCAACAGACTGGTGGGTTTTCTTTCAACAGACTGGTGGGTTTTCTTTACGTTGTAACATCTAAATCGGGGCCATTTTCGCATAGAAAGTCCTCCTGGAAGACATCTCCGTCGGCAAATCGCTCATGCGTTACGTTGCAATAAACATATAAAACCAAACCAAAACCTAGTTGCGAACTTTTTGTCACATATTATTAAGCTTGTTTCTTGAGTTTACTCTATTTCTTAATAAGTTGTTGTTAATTTCTGCAATCCTTCGCTTAAATAGAGATAAAGAGTGTGATCAAAACTCTCGGAAAACTCTATATGGCCAACCCTTTAGCGAGGCGCGAATCCACGATCAATGTTCCATGGTTTTATCCATTCGACCACTGGTGTATAATTCTGATTGAAAAAGGCGGGTCCCATTATGCGGGCGACCGGATAGTGACAAACGGGCCGATATATCCAAGGTTCTAATCGCCCACGAAAACTTCCTAGGTAATGCTCGCCTACATTCTATTCCAGATTCACAGAACGGTAGATTGATGCCCTAGCTCTTATCATTCAACCGCCTTATCGAAATGCATAAGAATCTATTGATATTAAGTAATAACAATAACAATTTTGAAATATTTGAAATATTTCTTACCATCTTCGTATGTTGCAGGAATTAATCTATTGAAAACTTCGTTAGTTTTACCTAAAAATGGCTTAAATATATTATTACAGGAACCGTCGATTGTTCTGAATTTAGATGAAAAATCGCAGTGCCTAAATTGAAATTGAATGTTCTTTGAAACACTCAAACCAAATTCTTCTAAGATTTTTCTGAAATTCTCGGCAGTAATTTCCGATATGTTGTTGAACTTCTCCGAAAATTCAGAGTTTTGTAGTAATCTAAAAATGGTTTTTAAATTAATAATAAAATACAGGTTTAAATCAGTAATAAAAGTACCTACTCGTCTATAACGTTAGCGAAATCAAATACTTTTGACGTGATCGCTAGAAGGGAATAATTTGGAGCGTGAAAGAATACTTCTATTATGTTGTCGGTTTGATGTAATTTACCTAAAAAAGCAGATTACATAATCATGTCTGTTTATAAACTAAAAAAACATTATAAATCTTTATAAGTAATAAACTATCAAACTTCAAAATTTCTGAAAAATATTTACATTGAAATATAGCCTACATTTAAATCTCCATCCTGTTCTCACTGAGTTTTTATCGTATCCATCAGGCCATCATGGTCCTTTCAAGGATTTATTTAGGTCTATAATGATAATGAATGAGTTGTGAGCGAGGTGGCAGGATATATCAGGATCAGCTCATGCGTGGTAATTTCTGAGCTGGCTAGAATTCAGTTTTCTTTTTTTAACTTTCCGTAATAATAGATTTTCTTGTAACCCTATGGGCATCAAGAAGATTTTTAACAAGCCCATTATGTCATGTCCACAATGGGGCAGCCAAGTGGTGAGGAAAAGATCCGACATATTCCGACGGTCCACCCGCGAAAATTCCTGAGGTTTTTGATCATTCTATCCCGGTTTCTCAGAGCGGTAGGCTGCCACCTCAACTCTTTCCGCCCTGTGGGCACTAAGAGGGCCTCTTTTAGCAAGCCCATTATGAGTTCGGCCAGGCCCACAATGGGTGGTGAGGAAAAGATCCGACATATCCCAACGGCCCACCCGCGAAAAATTCCTGAGGTTTTTGATCATTCTTTCCCGGTTTCTGAGCGGTAGGCTGCCACCTCAACCACTCAGCCATCTTCTCGTGAAATATCTACAGATCTCGTCACAAATCTTATAAGTGCAGGAAGAGTATCAAAAATTCTTATTTTTTAATTTGAATTGTTCAATAGCATATTACTAACACACCCTATTTTACCTGTTATCCTCTCACAACAGACAAAATTGAATCTTTATACGGACTATAATCTGGATAGTTGACACATCCAATCCATCTAATTTGAATCCTAATGGTGTTTCCTAAGAAATTCAGGATACAGTACAGTAGAGCCTCGATTATCCGACCCCGATCAACCGACCCCTCGGTTAACCGACCGTCGTAGTCGGCAAATTTCAAATGTCCGCTAGTGATGTGGCGCTACAATATTTGNTTTAATTGCATCAATGCCTCTTATATACTAGTTACCACGTCAAATTTCGATTTATTAATCTTTATTCCATCCTAAGATATGATATTAAACAAAATAGATATCAACACACACACATTTTATCCTTATCTTTATTATTTATTTATTTATTAGTTTATGAGGTCTCAAAACGAGATATTTTTTAAAAATTTAATTCGACTGAACACATTCGTAACGCATACAGTTTTTAATTTCTACGCTCATTACTCGTTCATCTATACCGGTACTTTGACACACTTAACAAATCATACTTCACATATTTGTCCGTTTTAAATGCCTTAATTTTACTCTTCTATGTCAATTACTGTATACTCTATACATCGTTACGTTCTATATCAATGCTATAGAACTAACGACTTCATTGTTCGTAAAGAAATTTTCCTAATTGCACAGTTTTAAATGACACGGGAAATACATGCACTGGATCATTATAAACCAACAAAGGAAACTGCATAATTTCACAGCAACAATATACATTTGTGTGGCTCCGGAAGTGGCCGGTACCACACATACAGAAAAATTAAATTTTGTTTTCTTGTGTAAAAGGAAAAAATAATAATTATATTTTGTAAAAACAAATAAAAAACAAAGGGAGAGGAAAATGGAAAATTTCATGTTTATAAAAGAGCATGTTTGAAGAAAATTCTTAGAAAAACGTACTTCTCAAATTAAGACAAAAGAATAATATAAATCCTAAGATCGAACATCTTCGATGAGGGATCGAATTGTCAGTCGGTGTTGACTCATCCCGCGATCTGTGTTCTGATCTCGAGACATTTCGTAACGAGTGGGGAACAATTGGAAAGCGGAGGTGAGTCGGAATCGACCTATCAAAATGTTCGATCTGGGACCCAAAACAAAACCTATCAAAATCCGAACTCGGGGGGGAGAGCTTCTCTCTCGTTCTTTTGATTATGCTACTCTTGCCTTTAAAGGATTATTCTCATTGCTGACTAAGTATCCTCTTCGAACTTCTTAGCTACGCCCGGGGCTGTCGACTCCTGAGAAAACATCGGAGAACTTTCCTCTTTGGACTTCGCCATCCGGAAAAAAGGGACCCAGAAGCCTCAGCCGCCCGTTAAAAGTGTATTATTATTGTAAGATACTTTATTTGTTACAATAAACCGGTAACTGTTTGTAACTGGAGAGAGTTGTCTCTGTGTCTAATGCTCTCACTCATGTCCGACACTACTCGGACATCCTGTCGATAAGCGCGGTTCGGCGACCTCACACATTATTATCGAGAATGAGAAGATAATTACGAATGTGGGAGATTCACCTTTCTCCGAAAGCCACATATATATGATTAAATTTTGGGCTTCTCTGCACGATACCAGACCAAATAGTTTTATTGGCATTCCTCTGGGCCTGTTCTTTTATATAACTTTGTATAGAAAGGTAATAATTAAACCGATCTTACTTTAAGCCCACTGGGACTGGTTCTAACTGATATATTTTGATGAATCTTGGTACATTGCTGGGAAACAAAAATTAGTTCAATAAAAAAAACTGCCACATCTTCGCCACTAAGCGAAGAAAGAATTTCCAAATCTCGAGTCGTAGAGTTGGATCGTATCTTAGAAACGAAACTACTCACAGGATGAACACGATAGCTTATTGAACACTTAACACACACTGAAGACGAGGTATACAAATGCATGTTCGCACAATTTACGTGACAACTTCGGTTCGTTAAGAAAATATTCCCTTATCGTCTAACGCAGTAGTGCGCAGACCGCGGGCATCACTTAATCGTTATTTGTACTTACAGCATTTTAAAAAACTTCTCTCTATCCTTAAAATTAGGCCGTTTTTCCTTTTCATTACAATTGGACTGCAATTTAAAAAATCTGTAGGTCTATAAATTCCCACTGTCGTCTGTCCGTCTGTCTTTCCTTGATCTCGAGAACGAAGTTAGATGGACGAAAGATGAGATAGATATGGAAATCTTTAGGAACAGCAAGCCCCGATTAATTATATATGAACTTCCGATGCATACCGGATGTTACGTTATTTTAGTTCAAGACTTTTCTCCTGAAAGTAGTTAATAGAAGACCAGCACGACTCTATTGTTAAAGGAAAAGTATGACGTACAGGATCAAGACACTACAGTACTAATTTGCAATTATTTTAAAAAGGGTCTATCGTGAATCCATCATTTTAATTGGTGACTAAAAATATTTTATTTTGCAAATATTTTAAGCGACTAAATTAAGTACGCTTCTAGCCCAAAATTAAATTAAATTAAATTTTGGGCTAGAAGCGTACTTAATTACAATTATTTGAATAATTTGAGTCTGTTTCCTTCTCATCTTGATGTGATAAGCCCTAATTATTGTAGCCGTATTCTGATAGGCGTTTGTGAGTGTCATAAGAAATGTAATTTCTCATGTCAAATATAGAAAACTATTTTATCCTAAATACTATTTCTCACTATACTAAATCAAGTAAAATTGTAATTGTTTATTAATTAACTTTAATTAAAGTTAATTAATAAACTATTTAAAAATATAGTTTGTCTTTGATCTGGATTTTGTATGTACAGTTCGTACGTACAAAATCCAGTAATCCGACACCCGCTGCGACGGACATCGATGTAATTTGTAAGATCTGAAGAATTCATCCGAGATTCACTAACATTTTGCTTTGATTACTGAAAAATCTGTAATATTACATGGTATCTCCAAAACATGCAGATCGCAATGATGCCAGCTTTTTCTGCTCTCACAATGATACCAATATGTCACTGGAAGTGTGCTGGAGAAGCCATTCCTAATGACAGAACATTGATGATTAGCCAAATTTTCTAAATGTATCAATGCCCCAAAACTCCATTTGCTGTTCATTCTCACAATATGGCAACCGATCTTCTCTTTCTCATATGTGAATTCTGGGTATATTTAAATATAATTATTTTTATTTATCTTTCTCGATGGAATAAAAATTTTGTTTCCAAATTGCAAAATTCTTAAATCGCCATTTTAAAAAGATGAGGAAAACTTGCACTCGCTTTCAAGAAAATAAATAACGCGTTTTTATTTTTTACCCGTGAAAGAGAGTTAGGTAAACGTTAGAATTTGTAAGACACAATACCTCTCTATCTTCCCAGCCCCTCGACCTTTACCCACCAAAATTTAATAGCGCCATTATTCCCTTATACTCAAGCTATCATGCCACATTTTGGCTTCTTAATATTTAACTCATCTTGAGATATTAAACGAAATAGATGCCAACACGAACACATTTTTGTGGATTTTTTCCCCAATTTTTTGACATATTTTTGGGTTCAGAGGTCTCAAAACGCGGAGATTTGCAAAAACCCGGAGGATCAAATTTGATACGATTTCAAAATATTACTTTCCCAAGTTATCTATACATAACAACTGGGAAAGTAAAATTAAAAGAAGAAAAAAATGAATAAAAATTTAAAAATGAAGAGAAGAAAGTGTACAATGTACTGTACTTAAAACACAGACATTAAGTAAATTTTTATAATTATGATTATTTCATTGCATTTATTTATTTGTTTGTTAAAATATAGTTTGATTTGTCGATACTAGATGGTGCTAAAGATTTTTAAAAATACAGTAGTGACTAGTGTCTATCATATGAGTTTACTAGTGTCTAAAATTAAGTGTACACTTGTGATTAAATCTCGAGATTACTTCATGCCGTTGTCCGTTTGAGAGTAATAACAGTCACAAAAAAATTATCAGATACTTGAACACCAGAAATTAATCTCAGTTCTCTTAAACTTGAGATGAAATTAATTGAAATATGAGACTATCGTGGACAAGGTAGGACCGCCGCTAGCAACCGCGGGGCCCTCTTAAAAATATACATGAGACAAATCTATGGAGACACCTGAGTAGATGTGCTACTTGAGAATTCTGTAATCTCGGTAACAACTCATAGCAAGTCCTCCCAGGACAGTCTTGCAAGTAGAGGAAAAAGATGAGGCCTAAGGCCTCGCAAATTTAATAGTGTATTTTAATAGTAACGTCATGAAATTAGTAATTATTGAAAATATAATTGTACGGTATCTGTTGCATTTCCAGACAATCGTTTTTAAAGCTAAAATTGATCAAGAACTATCTTCGATCAACAATGTATCAAGAGGAATCGCGTCCATCGAAAGAGATATTAATTATTTTTAATTAGCGTCGTGTCTCCTACCGTACGATAGGACTACCTTATACTTTTGTTGATGGAAGTAGTCGCTTATGTAAATCCGAAAGCAGCTCGGGAAATTATTTTTAGAAAATTTACAAACGTATTACGCTGTCGATAGTAAAAGATGCTGCGAAAGAACAAACCTACTCCT